ATAGTCGTTATCTTTCTTGAAAGGAGTACAATATTTCATTGGTAATTACAATATTTTGTTGGTCATTCTGACTTTGTAAAAACTGCTACCATGCATTAAACATTCAGAGATTTAGCTTGCACACTTCGGTGTCTGGAGTTTTATTTCTCCTGAGCTCAGAGACTAGGAATATCCAAGGACACTTAAAGGGCTACAGACATAGGTTGAATCCTGGCATTGGGGTTTCACTTGCTGGTCACTACAGGACAGTGTAGTGATATAGAAGCAGGCAGGCAAAATTACAGCACTGAGGACCAAACCTATTTTCCTGTGTGGCTTGGTTTTCCCCCTTCTGGACTACAGCACACCTCCCCTTTGTGTTATGGAAATGAGTGAGGGTGTTCAGTAGTCCAGAATGGAGAACTTAGGCAGGGCTGACAAAAAGCCAATGAGAGTACAACTTCCTGTACTGAAATCATTAATGTCTGCCTTGCCGCTTCTCCTCTGCTGGACTAAATACTCCTCCCCTTATGTTATATAATTGAGAAGTTCCATATTGCAAGAAGAGCTCAGGATAGGGTGACAACACTTCTTGGAATTCCTGTGTTGTTGCCTCAATCAGAAAGTGCAACAGATTTCTGGTAGATCAAAAGGTACACTTGCAGTGTATTTTAGGGTGATAAAACACCGGGAAATGTTCATGTACTGCAGATATATACAAATAAATATTTTATTTGCACAGGTAAAAAACAATTTATCTTGTTAGAAATTCACAGCTGTGCTGTGCCGAATACCCACTTCCCAGGCTGTCTCAAAGCCCTTGTAGTTCTTATCATGGACCTCATAATGATTAGCCTTTATGCTGTAGACATTTCGGAGTGTTAAGCAGCCCATAGATGAGTCATTTTTTTTTTTTTTTACGCAACCAGTGTATTGAGCGAAGAAAAAAAAATGACTCAATTCCCCCATCCACACACTCAATGTGGATGGGGGAATCTTCCCCGCTGTGTTACTGTTTTCTGATGGCAGAGAGAATTCCCTGCTGTCAGATCACACTGATCTGCGCTGGTGACTATAGCTGGAAGCATTGATCAAGCAGGGAAAATGTGACAGGGCAGTTGTAAGAAGTCTATCGGTAGATTGACTCCTGTACAACTTCCCTGCCCATACATGGATCAAAATTTGGCAGATCCCCACTGAATCTGCCGAGCTTCAATCAACATATGGCCAGAGAAAATTAGGCATGGCTGACACCACTCAGTCTTATAAGTGGAGTGCACTTCTGGCAGGTCAACAGGTATTTTTCTGTATTTTCAGGATCTTTAAAAGGGATAAAATGCAGGATATGTACATTTATTGTAGAAATGTACTGCACATGATTTTTTTTTTTTTAATTTTGCCTTAACCTATGTTAGGTATGCTACCTATGCGAGTACATCATGGGACACAGGGGACTTCATATTCACAACTCTTTGGGTTATGCTGCTACCTTCAGGTGAATAAGCACTCCCTCCCACCAACCCCCAAGCTCAGCTAAGCCTCTGTTTTGTAATAAGCAGTAAGGAACAGAAAAGAGGGCAAGAATCTCTTTATCTCTCCATAGATACCCTTGAGTGCCTAAGATGCACAGGAGAAAATCCAAAAAAGAACTCCATTTTCTAATCTCTAGACACCACTCTGCAGACTGAGTCATCTGTGACTTCCTGAGTCCAGGCAGTCACAAAGGCTGATAGACTTTCCTCCCTCTGTGCAAGCAGAGGTGTCTCCTGAAACTTAGGAGGACTGGCCTCTGGAGCCATAGGTCTTGAGTCTAGTTCTTCTTATGAAACTGGCAAACTCCCACCACAGACTGCAAAGCTGCTCCCAACAGAGGGTGCCATAAAGTTGACTCTTACCTCTTTTCTGTGGCATCTTTGAAGATAAGGACCTCATCCGCTGTGATTGGCTATGTCTTATTCAACAAGTAACAGACTGAGTCAACAGCCAAAGAACTCTATTTTTTTTGTAGAATTCTTTCTGCATAGGGTACGGTGTCACCATTTTTGGGGCAAGTCCAATCAATATACATCAATTTATGCAAGTGAGGGTGCACTAGAAGGCACGTGAGATTATTTGGCGGCCCAGGACCCAAAACTAATGACTTTAGGGAAAGTGGATATCGGCAGTGATAACTTCAGGTTAGTGAGCACAACATCTGCCAGGAAGATTGCTGTGGTCTTCTGTGTCTGAGACAGCCCCAGAGCCTGAGATTTCTTCTGGGAGGACTCATCTAGAGGATCTCCGATTATCAACAGCTTAATCCTCTTGAGGATGTTACTCAGATGCCTCAAAATCTCAAGGTGGGAAGGACAGCACCTACGCTTGGGTCCTAGGTGTTCCAAGCCAGTGAGAACCCTAGAGCTGATTTGACAGACCAGAACCGGCTGCAGAAAATTACTCCCTTGACACAAAGGAAGTAAAGGATTGTGTCAATGAGACAGTGAAAACAACCAGACAAGGGTAGGGATTCAGAGGTTATCCGACCCTTTGGGGAGCCATTACAGGGCAAACTGTGCAGGGGGTCTTCCCTACCTCATAGAGGGATTTGAGAGCCCATCTCATCGTCCTCTCTCACATTTCTCTGCCTGCACGAGGCCATGGCTTACTAAGGTCTAATAGGCCTATGAAACCCTAAAAGGAGTGGACACAGTTGAAAAGAGGGTCAGCCTAAGCCAGAACCCCTATCTTTTAAGCCAGCCCACTACAGACAAGTGTCCCAATACTTGCTGTGCCTGCTACCCATGTAAGAAGCTGCTGCAGCTGTGCATGACTGTGGCAGTAATCTGCTGTAGCCACTCTGCGCTGTGGTGTACCAGGAGCCTGTGGTTGCATGTGTTTCCATACTCTGGGAACTGAAAAAATGGAATTCACGCAGCACCAGTCCATCACAACTGAACACAACTACAGCTGTAAAATGCTTTGCACAGAAAACTGCCTAAATTGGAACACTTTTTTGGGGAAAGACTGGCACATATGGTCTGCCATATCAGAGGCACTCATTTGTCCTGCTGCAGGACCAGGAGGCCCAATCTGCACCCTTCACATCGGGTGTGGGCCTTCAGGGACTCGACTCCCCTCCAGGGGAATTACTGTCCTGCCCTGTAAAGCAACCTGCCATGGAAGTCAACAGATAGTACCTCAAGGAATGGTGCCCGCAGGATCCGGAGCCAACTGGCATCAGTACAGGTCCATCCGCATTCTTTCATGCAGAGGTCTGGGTACAGTCCCTCTTGACAATCCGGCTATACCGACAGATCTGGATCTAACACTCCCCTTTACCTCAACAGCAGTGAAAAGAATAGACCAGGCATACAGGGCCTAAGCCCTTGAAAAGGTGATCTTCAGTAAGATATCTCTACTCACATCAATCTGATAACTAATCACTAGCTAAAAACTGAGGCTTAACAGGAATGGAAGGTGTTATGCCTTGGTGGAGATTCTTGCCTTGTTTGGGCCAGTGTCAAGTCACCTGAAGGTGGCAGCATAATCCAAGTAGTCATGAATATAAAGTCATCTGTACCCTATGATGTACGATTAGGAAGCAAACCTAACTACTCATCTCCATGTTAGAGCTTCCATGTGACACTGCAGCAGCCCATGTCAGCTCTAGGAATGATAGCAGTGTGATCACCTGACCACTGATCAATCAGCTCTGCCTGTTGGCAGCATGGAACAGTGACTGCAAATCCATCTGCACCTCCAGCGCTCACTGGAGTGCCAGACTGGGGAAGGGGCAGGATCACCAATGATCACTCTGCACCTCCACTCATGAAAAAAATCTTGCATTCTTTACAATGAATGCAGTTGCTCTGAGATAGTAGGAGGTGCAGATAAATGTCACAATCTTCTCCAATCATAGAGCATCTTGCATTCATTGAAACAAAAGGCGTTTTATGCCTGGAAGGGGTGTGAGCAACTACAGTGATCAGTGTACTGCAGCCAGAACTACAAGTCTCAGCAATGGATGTTTGGCCCTACAGGAGACTGCTGCCTGAGTATCAGTAAGATATGTGACAGACAGTGCAGCAGCCAGAGAAGGTGCATACATCATTGGAGTTAACAGAATTTTACTGTGCAAGTAGCCAAAAATAATTTTTGGCCATACTTCATCTTAAACAGGAGTTTACCTGTAGGCACTAAGCGGTCCAGTGAGCATCCATGCTGTAAATTAGAAAAACAGACTATTAGATATTAACATATTTATTAATTTAACAAAAAATATGGCCTAATAAGGACATCTGATTATTAAACAAAACAAAGATCTGCAGATTCTATAGACTGTATAAAAAATAGACAATGGCAGAGCAGGAACTTTTTTTAGGATAAATTTTACACTGCACACCCTGCTTTGGTCACCCACCATACCGCATCATTACCTGACCACATTGTCCTGATAAAGTATAAAAACAAAACGATGACCTGCCAACTCCAAAGTGCCTTTGTTCAGGTGCGCTGGTTGTCAGTTTGTCATTGTTCAATCCAGAGACCTCAAGACATCGATAAGGATACCCTAACAAACATTTTACAGGCTGAATTTATTTAGGATTTAGCCAAATAAATGAATATTCTTTCACCCTAGAAAAAATGCTTCCATTTCATGTGACAAGTACTCTCCAGGGTATTAAATTTCCTTTTCAATAACTTAAGAGAAGCTTGGCATATGTATACCAGACTTGGTTAATTAAATGGCTTTGCAACAACTTTACACGTCTTTGGGGTTTCACATCTCAACATGCATTGCCAGCATAAAACATGACATTGCAAAGGGCTCAGAGCCTTAGTGACCAAGTGATACCTTGCAGTGATTGTCCTGCCCACTAGAGGCCATTAGTGCTTCTGCAAGTGTTTCCTTTGCAGCTACTGCAGTCCTTGAGTGCTCTCCAGCTGTTTCCAGACAAGAGAACCTGGATAGGAAGAGAGGCCCATATTACCATTCCCTAGTCTGCAGACATATGTATTTTGTTCCTGAGTCCTCTGTATCACTAGCTCCATTTCCCGGCAATGGCTTCCAGGCATCGTGGACAAGGCGTCAGTGCAGAGGTGGCGGTGTATTTCCTGCACCTGGGGCAGCGCTCTTTGGTACTTTGCTGAATCACAACTTTGTACGACTCATTCTCACAGATGTCCCCATCTGGGAAAAATAATGGTTTGTATGAATGGTTAGATATAAGATGATTTGGTTAACATAATTCTGGTGCTTTACAAGTGCTGTTAATTAAACCAGCAAGCAAGGATTTCCTACCTTCTAAGTTGATAAGGAAAGATCCATTGAGCTCAATGGCCTCTGCTTGTAGGTCTAGCGGTAACTTTGTCACAAGGCTGGTCTGAGACACCATTAACAGTTCATTGAGCTGTGATGTGCTGGATGTCTCCTCCGCCTGCAGCGTCTATGAGACAAAACAGTATAAAGCAGTCTGCCAATGATCCATCTAGAAGATCCAAAGCATTTTAGCCATCAGTGTATTCGAGGTGCAAGATGGACAGAACCTCCTCTATGCTAGATATATATGTACAATTATAACTTGATCTACAATGTCAAATACTAAGGGACTTCTATATCGAAAAAATGTAGCATGCTGCAGATTAACTCATCTGTGACTTCCTGAGTCCAAGCAGCCATAGAGGCTGATAAACATCCCCTCACCCTCCGAAGTAGGGGCGCCCCTTTAATATCAAGAGGACTTGGGGGTCCAATTCTTCCTATGGAACTGTATTTTGGACTTTTAATTTGAGCATGAAGACTTGTTGTTTAGGAAAGGAACTTTTCTTGGGATTCCACAGGTGTCACTGGTTTCTGACTGGACACCTTAACCTTCTTCATTATGAGTAAAAATGGGCTTTTATCCACAGTCATATGCTGGATGAAGGCATCAGAGGACGGTCCAAAAAGTGTTTGCTCTCAAAGGAAAGCCACTTTATTTGCTTCTTGCAGAAGGTCCACTGACCTATACTTTACCACTGTTTCACGTGGACAGCCATAGTGTCCACCTGTAAAAACTGTCATAGGCATCCATCGAGAAGCTAAAAGCTCTCAAAAAAATCATCCAATTCTTTGGAATGAAACTTGAAGGGATTGGCAAACTCCCACCGCAGTCACCGCAGGCTGCCAAGCCACTTTCACCAGAGAGAAGGATGCCTTAAAGAGGGCCACTTCCCAACCATAAGACATACCCATACTTCCTCAGATTGAAGTGGGTATACTGGAGCCAACATTTTATTCTCTAAAGCCTCAGCTTAAAAAAATATATATATATTTTGGGGTTCTAGGTAATTTTATAGCAAAAAAGCAGATATTTACATGTACGAGAGAAATTGTCAGAACTGTCCAGTATTAAGGTGGTTAAAGACCAGGATCTTATCCACCAGGGCCTTCTTTACGTAGGGAATGGCTGAAATCAACAGTCAGAGAACCCCTTATCCTGTATAAATTCTCCTCCCTGGACCACTGCTGAGAGAATTAATTTGAAGGTGAAAATATCTTCTCCAGGTGAACCCAATAGACATACATCACTTCTTGCAAATAAGGGTGCACAGGAAAGGATTAGGGATGTTTTGTCCTGCTTAAAGGTCCATGTCCTGATTAAAGGTAAAAAGCCTGTATTACCCTGTAAGGGAGAGGCCACCCAACTGAGGGGAGTGCCCAGCCAAGATAGAACATCTGTGTGGCAAATGTCCCAACACTTGATGTGCCTGGCATTTGCTCAGTAGGCTGCTGCAGCTGTGCAGGGTTGTCTCAGAGTGAATCTGAATTCTGGAGCTGGGTGACCAAACCCCCATGTGATTGGATTGAGCAGGTAGCAGATACTCTTAGGGAGACATCAGGGGTTTATTAGACCCCAATGCCTCTCCTGCCTTCCAAAGTAGCTAATCAAGCACAGACCACTTAAGCTGAGCACTTCCAGCTTCATTCACTGCAGAGGAGATGAAGGGGCGGATGTTCTCCAGGCTCCTCTCGCTCACCATTGTCCCAAGCTCCTGGGAAGAGTATTGAGAGCACAGGAACTGCATCGCTCCCACACAGTAAAAGAGATTGGGCAGCTATACAGCAACCCGTTTCACTTTTATTTACAATCTGTTATGCAGCCATGAACTTAACCGTTCACTTTCTGGATGTACTACATACTGTATGTCTAGAGAGCTGAAGTAATTAAGAAAAATACACATCAATACAATAAACACAATATGGAAGCACAGATCGAGTTTGTAAAATGTGAAAGTCATAAAAAAAATAATGTAACAGTATACACTGCTATAATGTGCCTCAAACTACTGTATGTACTCAGAGGGGAGAAAAAAAACAACAGTATACTTCCCCTGTAAGAGATTCCAGAAAGAAGGCTCACCGCTCTTCCCATTAGTCCTCCTGGATGTGAGGGTATGGCCCACAGTCTGGTGTTACATACAAAGGCTTCCCCCTCTATGAATAGCAGCATTGGTACTTTATAAAAAAAACTGTACATAAGAACTTTGGCCATGCTCACCTCCATCAACTCAAACAACAGTCCAGGCTCAATGACAACTGTGAGTTCATACTCAGCGGTATTCTTTCCCGGAATGGAACCCAGAAAGAGGTCTCTAATGGAACAAGCGGCCTCCACAGCTTCTACAAGGCCAGGTTTTCTCCACACAGAGTTTGACACTGTCCAGCCTCCATGGAAAACACTCTGGTTTTCTGCTCCATCAGGGCAAAGGAAGGAGAGAAAAAAGATTCCATTACTGAAGAGTACCCATCAACTGTATAGTTTCAAAAAACCAATAAGGTCTCAAGAGTCACAAAGATGAAAAAGAACATAAAATACCTTTCTTATAAGGCACATACTGGAACACTTCTTCTGCTAGGTGTGGAAGGATTGGTGCAAATGAGCGCACCACAATATCCAAAGCCTCGGCCAAGACTGTCTGACAGGAACGGCGCTTGGGATCTTTCTCCTCCTCGCAGTAAAGCCTGAAAGTGTCACAAACATGACAAATATGGAGATATAATACACAGTCCCTGTAATAGAAATTCACACTCTAGGACAAGGTGAAACCAGTTAGGATACAATTCATTTTGTCTGTTAGATGGAAAATGGAGAACATGGATTAAACTAAAGTAAACGTGGGACTGACTACAGCAGTGACTTTGTGTATGTTACCCAAACATTTCATATTTCTGATACTTGTCTATTGTACCATGCAAATAGTGTACTGCTCTCTTTATTTTGCTTCCTTAGTGTGAAATACCTGGTAATCCTGCAAGTCCCCCTGCTTTCCTATTTCAAACTGAACACGCTAGGCATGGATGCACATCCACCTTAGTATGGTCAGTTTTGTCTTTGCATTCTACTTGGGAGTGCAGCCTGCATGCACTGTAGTTTTCAGACTTGTGCTGACATGACCCCTGCAAAGCTCATCACTGGAAAGATCAGTGTTCTGATGTTTCTCTGCCTCCTGCTGACACTGTGCCCTCCAGCGTTGCGGTGTGATTGATGTTGCGGCCCCTGGTTCTTACATCTTTGCTCAGTCCTCCTAGTTCCTGTGCCTTTGGCTGTTTGAATGGCCAGTCTGCAGTGATGTCACTCCCATATGTAAGGGAGTCACATCGCGCCATGGCAAAGATCTGAGGTTTGTAAATTTGAGTATGCATGCGTTGATCAGTGTAAATGATGGCTGACAGGCATGAGGAAGCATGTATGACAGAAGAGACCGATGGTGTCTCTTCTGTCAAACACCCTGCCTGTCAGCAGTTTTTTTAAGCTGGTACAAGAATTTCCAATTCAGTTACTGTGGAGCCATCACACACTCAATGCATACCAACCCACTGTTGGTTTATTGCCAGTATTCTGAATAATGACCTGCTGGTTTCTGGCTGTCTTTTCTTGTCATGTGCTGAATGCAGTCTGGTGATGCTGTCTTGCTGCATGTCAATAAAGTGCCCAGACAGCTGCCACAGCCTGAACACAAATTTATGCCCATCCACTAGTTGATCTGAACACCATGTCAGGGCTCATTAATGCACAAACAATACCATACACACAGCCAAGCAGTACATATAGATATACCTGTCTTTTATTATACTGAAGTAGAAGCTGGACAGGTCTCTGGTGATCAGGGCCTCCAGCAGACGGATAACTTTTCCAAACTCGTAATTCTTATAGGCCTCTGTTACCTAGAGATATACTGTATATTGAACACACTGCAGACAACGCATCAATACACATCAACATAAAAAAGAAAACCTGTCATGACAAAAATGGCTGCCACTGTTGACCCACTTCCAAAAATGACAGCTGCCTGGTTGTTATTTTGAGCCTCTGGCTTCTGTGGTTTCTAAGCTGCTGACTGAAAGAAGTAAGCAGATCAGCAGATCTGAATTCCATGACATCTAGGCAACTAGTATTTCAGGAAGTCAGCAATGGCAGCCTATGTATTTTTGTCATGACAGGTTTCCTTTAAAGTGACCCTGTCAAAGGGTCAACAAAATAAAACAGTGTGAAGAAAGTGATAATGAACAAACCCCATTGGTCGGTCCATCTGTAACAGAGCTCTATGTCACTAATTTGTCCTGCAGTGCCTAGGGGCCAGCCAGAGATACCACAGAAGCCAGCGGGGGAACCCGTTATTCAACCAGCCTTGAACAATCAAATCAGACTGGAACTGGGAGCTCTGCTACAGAGTAAAGTTTGAGAAAATGGGCTGATGGAATTATGTAAAATACCACTTGTAGGCTGGTGCCTTTATAATTTGTTGACACTTTAATAAAACCAATCATTGTGCCTATTTAAATGCCATTAATGCAATGAGCAGCCTTTCAGCCTATGAGACCTGCAAGTCCCATAATGCCCTGCCAACAGCTGGTTTTCATTATTGTTACCTTGCTGGCGTAGTCCTGGAGTATATGCAGCATGTACTGATCTATGATGTACATCTCTGGGACAGGTATAGAGTCCGTCTCTGGGCTGAATCTAGAAAGGTTACCCAGCATGAAGCGCACTGTGTTCCGCAGCTGAAAAAGACACACAAGCAGTGAAGCTAGAAGATGCTATTGGCTCTCCAACAGGCTGGCAAGTTAAGAATGCAATGCAGACAATGACTAACGATACTAATTTGATATATTTATACAAACACACACACCATGCTTTTGGATCTGCAACTCAAAAGAAAAAAAAGGGGGAGAGGAATCACAGAATTACAAACACTATCCATGAATCATTGCAAATGCTATAAAAACTAAAGTTCTACTAACCTATCATTAATCTGAGTTTTATACAGTGCACAACACCGTAAGATTCCTCCCGTTCAGTCCTATGGACTGAACAAGGGAAATCACTTCACTATACAGAGTGGATGCTGAGGGAATCATCCCTGCCGACTATTAGAATACCCAAACAGTGACTGCATCAGATTGGATGCAGCCATTGTTCAGTCGACAATTTTCCACCCAGCTCCTCCTATTTTTCAGATCGAAGGATGTCAGCAGGGCCACTCATGGCCTGAATGTTGGCTGGCTCATCACACCTAGTATAACATAAGACCCATTTAGGCTTTCAAAACAAATGTTATCTGTTTAAAAAGTAGGCAAACTTTATAAAGTGGCCACTAAATGTATCCAAGTGAACACCTTCCTGTGATTGGCTGAAGAGTAAAGGCTGCCACTGACGGCTCGAAATTCGAGCTGCGTGTGACCCTTTTGGCAACACGGTGCTCCGCATCACCCTGTCAGCACCGCCTGACCTAACTCAACTTTTGACAAAAAATATGGGAGAATTGTCGGTCAAACTGTGACTGCATCCAGTTAGATGCAGTAACTGTTCAGGTATTCTGGCAGCCACAGGTGTCAGCTTTCAGAATACAATAGCTGGCATGGGAGATGCCTTCATCCACACAGTTTAGTGTGGGTGGATGAATCTGTCACATTTCTCTTCCTCAGCCCATAGGTAAACGTTTTTAAAGAATAGACATCATTAGGTTTTAACCACATCCCTGCCACACTATAGCAGATATACTGCTACAGGATGGCAGGGGTGTGCAAAATCCTGTATATAAATATATATATATATATATAAATAATTTTTGCATTCCGGGGTAGGGGGCACACGTGAGCTGCACGCACGCCCTACCCAAGCGGCCGCGGTTGTCATTCACCGGGTCCCAGCCAGTGATTACCCGTCGGCGCCCGGTGATTACCAAGGATCTCCAACGGGGAGGAAGGCTGCTTTGTTTACTAACAACCCTCCTCCCTGTTGGCTTGTTCACACTATTCTGGATGGCTGTGCACAGCCATCCAGAACAGCGTCCTTATAGTGAAGCACCAACACACCGCCCCCCAGTAAACCACTCCCAGCACACAGTTAATCCTTTGATCGCCCCTCATGTTCACCCCTTCCTGCCCAGTGCCATTAGTACAGTGTCAGTGCTTTTTATTAGTACTGATCACTGTATTGGTGTCACTGGGGATGTCAGCGACACAAAGTCAGTTCCCCCCAGTGTCAGAATGCCCGCCGCAGTCCCGCTGTAAGTCGCTGATCACCGCCATTAAAAAAAAAAATTCCAGTATCTATACCGCCATTTGTAAATGCTATAACTTTCACGTAAACCAATAAATTTACATGGATTTTTTTTTAGCAAAGACGTAGCAAAATACATATTTGACATTTTTGAACAAATTTGATTTGATTTAAATTTTTTTACAGGACATGTTTAATAGCAACAAGTCAAAAATATAGTTTTTTTTTCTCAAAATTGTGGGTCTTTTTTTTCTTTTATAGTGTAAAAAATAAAAACCACACAGGCATTCAAATACCACCAAATGAAAGCTCAATTCATGGGGAAAAAAGAGGATGTAAATTTCATTTGGGTGCAGTGTTGCATGACCACTCAATTGTCAGTTAAAGTAACGCAGAACCGTAATGCAAAAAATGGCCTGGTCAGGAAGGGAGGTAAATCCTCAGGAGAGCAAGTGGTTAAAGGAGAGCATCAAAAATTAACTTACAAAAATACATGGAAGAGAAAAGTGCATAAAGCCACCTTTGTTTAACAAATCAATTACACCTCACTGTATGAAAGGATATAAAGTTTTAGGCAACTTGTGGGAAAAAAAAAACACTAGAGTTGCTGAAGAGCAGGAAGAGCGATCACACATGCCCCCCAATGACATTGGTACAGAAGGTAAGCGTGTGCCCAAACGGGGTTTGGTGGAGGTGTCTACTATTACACAATCTGATCTCACCAAACCGAACTATCTACAGCATGTGGACTTGATCACAACTGGTGGATTATATCACAGTTTTGGACATTTGTGTGGAGAACATCACATGTGGTGATGTTGGATAATATTTACACACGTCTCTATAGTTATCACAATTCTGTTTTATGTTCATTTGGTATTTTATGTTTGTGAATGAGTACACCATATGTTTATACGCATACTATGTTGAGTGAGTTTTCACTGTTATGCTTGCAGCTTTAGGAAAATTTCAATACTGGTGCACAGAGTCTTATTTTTTTTATTTAATTAAACCAAACTTATGGATTTTCATTGGTTGGACAAAGAACTGGTAATATTTATCAGCTGAAAAAAAGCTACTAGAGGATTGTTGAAACATCATCAATATAAGAGAACACAGCCAGCTGAAAGGGAATAACTACTACTAGCTATGCCCGGACTTGAATAAAGGAGAACCTTTACAGGCATAATGTTTACTTTAAAGCAGATGTAAACTCAATCTTTAAAATTGCATATCAGCTTTAAGATAGTCATGCAAGATTAAAAGTACATTCAATCTCCTGAAATCTGCAGCATTCACTTAAATATTACTTGGCAATTCTGCCAAGAAGGTCCTTGTCTAGGCACTTCCTGTTATAGGATGACAACGTTCTAACTCTGTCTTTCAATTAATATCCTGCGTTGTCACCGTCAGACAAAATGTGTGTTTCAGCATTATGCAAGCAGCATGGTTCACTGATGTTACCATCATGAAACCCGCCCTGAGATATGTCATTCACCTGTAAACAGGAAATGGCTGCAAATAGGCAATTGGAGACCAGCAGCACTGAGGTGAAATATACAGTCAGGTCCATAAATATTGGGACATCGACACACTTCTAACATTTTTGGCTCTATACACCACCACAATGGATTTGAAATGAAACTAACAAGATGTGCTTTAACTGCAGACTGTCAGCTTTAATTTGAGGGTATTTACATCCAAATCAGATGAACGCTGTAGGAATTACAACAGTTTGCATATGTGCCTCCCACTTGTTAAGGGACCAAAAGTAATGGGACAATTGGCTTCTCAGCTGTTCCATGGCCAGGTGTGTGTTATTCCCTCATTATCCCAATTACAATGAGCAGATAAAAGGTCCAGAGTTCATTTCAAGTGTGCTATTTGCATTTGGAATCTGTTGCTGTCAACTCTCAAGATGAGATCCAAAGAGCTGTCACTATCAGTGAAGCAAGCCATCATTAGGCTGAAAAAACAAAACAAACCCATCAGAGAGATAGCAAAAACATTAGGCGTGGCCAAAACAACTGTTTGGAACATTCTTAAAAAGAAGGAACGCACCGGTGAGCTCAGCAACACCAAAAGACCCGGAAGACCACGGAAAACAACTGTAATGGATGACCGAAGAATTCTTTCCCTGGTGAAGAAAACACCCTTCACAACAGTTGGCCAGATCAAGAACACTCTCCAGGAGGTAGGTGTATGTGTGTCAAAGTCAACAATCAAGAGAAGACTTCACCAGAGTGAATACAGAGGGTTCACCACAAGCTGTAAACCATTGGTGAGCCTCAAAAACAGGAAGGCCAGATTAGATTTTGCCAAACGACATCTAAAAAAGCCTTCACAGTTCTGGAACAACATCTTATGGACAGATGAGACCAAGATCAACTTGTACCAGAGTGATGGGAAGAGAAGAATATGGAGAAGGAAAGGAACTGCTCATGATCCAAACATACCACCTCATCAGTGAAGCATGGTGGTGGTAGTGCCATGGCGTGGGCATGTATGGCTGCCAATGGAACTGGTTCTCTTGTATTTATTGATGATGTGATTGCTGACAAAAGCAGCAGGATGAATTCTGAAGTGTTTCGGGCAATATTATCTGCTCATATTCAGCCAAATGCTTCACAACTCATTGGACGCCACTTCACAGTACAGATGGACAATGACCCAAAGCATACTGCAAAAGCAACCAAAGAGTTTTTTTAAGGGAAAGAAGTGGAATGTTATGCAATGGCCAAGTCAATCACCTGACCTGAATCCGATTGAGCATGCATTTCACGTGCTGAAGACAAAACTGAAGGGAAAATACCCCAAGAACAAGCAGGAACTCAAGACAGTTGCAGTGGAGGTCTGGCAGAGCATCACCAGGGATGAAACCCAGCGTCTGGTGATGTCTATGTGTTCCAGACTTGAGGCTGTAATTGACTGCAAAGGATTTGCAACCAAGTATTAAAAAGTGAAAGTTTGATTTATGATTATTATTCTGTCCCATTACTTTTGGTCCCTTAACAAGTGGGAGGCACATATGCAAACTGTTGTAATTCCTACAGCGTTCACCTGATTTGGATGTAAATACCCTCAAATTAAAGCTGACAGTCGGCAGTTAAAGCACATCTTGTTCGTTTCATTTCAAATCCATTGTGGTGGTGTATAGAGCCAAAAATGTTAGAATTGTGTCGATGTCTCAATATTTATGGACCTGACTGTAGTATGAAAAAAAGGTGAAAACAGTATTTGATTTTGATTTTTTTTTTTTACAAATGGCTATGTTACACACAGCTCAAGCAAACTATAATTTATTCACGGTTTACGTCTACTTTAAGTGCTCTAAACTTTTTTTTTTTTTTTAATAGAATTACCGCAGCTGTGAAACAAGATCTCGGACTACAACATCTATTTTTTCCAGGAATATAAACATTACGCAGACTTACCTTATTGATATCCTCCCGTGCTGCATTTAGTACAGTAGGCCCAATGAGAACTTCAGTAAAGATATTGGACTCAGCCACCCACCATCGTAAGACATCAGCTCCAAAGGCTGGCTCTTTTGTTTTGTCCTGAAGTAAAGAAAGAAATGTCACTCTTTAGTGACACACAAAAATATGCATTTATAAAATCATAAATACCCTCAAGTGATATGTTTGATTAGTTCCCATTCACACCTGTGCGTATTGTAGAGCAAAGCTCGAAGCTCCAAAATGCTCAGGGGGAAAAAAAAATCAGTATCACTCTATGGAGATGGTTCACATCTCCACTCCAAGTTGCCTGAAGCAGGACGCCTGAAACTCAAAAAAGTTCTGGAGCTACTTTTGTAGCTCAAATTGGGCATATTTGCATTTTTATTATTCTCATAGAAAAGAATAAAAACACACAATTGGCACATTTTTGCACGTCTTAACACGTGTTTTGCACGATTTTCTGCTCAAATGAAAATAAGTTTTCAAAAAATACTAATTATATATGAATAAATAAATGTAAAATAAATATAAATTTACCCTTAACCTTAAAAGACAAAAAAAAGAAAAAAAAAAAAAAGGATTAGGGTTGTTGGGTGATGGTGTTGCTTTTTACATTTTTTTTTAGGTTTTAGGGGGTTAAGGTTATGGGTTAATTATTAATTTATTATTACAAGTATTTATTTATGATTATTTTTATTTGTGTATTTCTAAAATTTATTATTATTTTTTTATTATTATTAATAATTTAATATTTTTTAAGGGTTAGGGGGTTAAGGTTAGGGGTAATTATTTATTATTACATAGCATTTATTTATGATTTTTTTTTACATGTATTAACAAAGTGTATTTAACATTTATTTTTATTATCACTTTAACAAAAAATACATAAATAATAAATTTATAAAAAAATAATGAATAATAATAAAAAGAAACAAAAGCTGGTGGAAAAGCTGAAGAAGAAAAACCTAGAGAAAATACTATCTGTTGCATCATTTTGTTTCTATTGGCTAATAAAAAAAAGCTCAAAAACGCTGTATGAAAACATACAAAAATCGGGGTAAAATATGCACAAAAAAACGCTAACAAAAACCCCACTACGCTGAGATGTAAATGGAGCCTTAAAGTTCATATTTATTCTGCTTACATTTTGCCTTCCCCAGTTCCTCTATTTCCCCTCCTTCAACAAGATGAGATTTTCCCACGAAACCCTTCTATTTTGTTTTAGACCCAGTATCAGCACTAAGTCTCTGTGCCTGTCTATGCAATACAGGCAGATCATGACTGGTGAGAGGGGCCAGCAGGGGTGCTGTACATAGCTTCCTGAAAACACCACTTCACCTCGCTGCATTATACCTTTGAAGAGCCCCCAGCCCTGATGCAAGCAGTATGCTGGCTCTTGGTACAAGTTATGCAAATATCAAAATGAATTGATTAATGAATGTTGATCTAAATGAGTGTGCGTTCTTAGGAAGGCTGCATTTGCACGTATATCGCTCTAGGTAACGCCCAAATGTGAAGCAGAGCCTCCATAATTGAAAACCAGTGAATGAAGGGGGGGATGGCCAGGGACAGTGATACTGAGAAGGAAATGATGATGCTAGTTGTCCTCCAGCCAGAAAATGAGACAAGTCCTATCCTACCAATGCAGCTTCTTATACACACTGGGAGAAGCTCACAGTGTGCAGTGAAATCAGAGTAAGCAATTTCAGTAAAGAAGAAGAGCCTGCACAAACTGTGCAAGACTGAAGGTAAAGCCAGAATCCAGATTTAGGCATTTAGTATTTAATTTATTTATTTTGGGAAGCAGTTAAATTGATGGGTTTAGTGCCGCTTTAACAAGTCCAGCTTGGGCAAAAAATAAGACTATGGATCCCAAAAAAGCTCTTTAAAAAAAAGCTCCTGTGGCTTCTAAATGCAAACTATCTCCCCATCAGCCTAACATTTTTTTTCAGGTTGATCCCGGAAATGAACTTGGGCAGCCTTGGAACTCATCTCTATCCAAGCATCAAAATCAAGGGGTTTTTTTACGCCAACAATTTGCAGGCCGGGTCATTCCAAGCCCTACATGTAAACAAAGGGACGGGTAAAAGAAAGAAACAAAAAAAAACAAAAAAAAAAAAAACAATTTTGATGTTTGGATAGAGATGTGTTCAGAAAACACCCAAACTCATCTCTGTTGAACCCATGTCTGGATCAAACCTTTCTGTCTGGTGTTTTATTTTCTTGCAGGATCCTTCCATTTCCACTAGTCTAGTACAGGTGTCTTTCAGGTGTACCAACGCCTGATAAATAGGGACCCCTCTGTGTCCCTGAAACACATTTTTATGGTAGAATTCCCCAAAAATTAGAAAGTACTTTACATGATTTATACCTTGCATACCACCGGAGATACAAACTGACCCTTGGCTGCTACTGTTTGAAAGAAATTGTTCCACCGCTGTGAACATCTCCTATAAAATGATCTAATGTCCTGCAACCTCTTTCTACTTTTCACATTTTAATTGCTGTTTCTATCCTGGCTAGGTAAATCACCTTCTCTATTTGCCCTGGTGACCATTGTCACAGACACAGAAGGTGATGGGCAATCCACAATGTTTCACTTTCACCAGAACAAGGGATGTCTTCCAATAAGCAAGCCTGTCCTGGTGACAATTGTGCAAGGGCTCATTTGCACCATGAAATTGCACTGTCCAGTGTATCACCAGGCAAAAAGCCTCACTTCCAGTGGTGTCAGTTCACACCAGAGCGCTGCAGTGGTGTACGCTGGAACTGCATGCAGCACTTTTTTTCAAAGTAGCAGGCTGCGACTCAAGCTCCCATATTGCAATGCTGCTGTTTGAAAAACATTATGAAATCACTTTGAAATTTCATTAAGGTTCCAACAAAGAAGAAAAAATGTGAACAGTGCAGAGCACCGGGATCTGCATATTGGCACTATTCCTACCAGCGCACACCAGCAGCCATTGGTCAAAGTAACTGTTTGGTGTGAACAAGCCTAAGAGAGAAATTCCCTCATTTTGCAGAGATTTACCCTCACTCAAGGCTTCCACACATGGGCCGAATATCATCTGGTTCAACAGAAACCAGCTGACGTTTGGCCTGTGCGTACAGCAGCCTGTCTGGCTTGTGTCAAACAGGCAAGCTGGAAAAAAAAAAAACAGTATTTTTGACTTCTTGCTATTGAACATATCCAGTAAAAAAATCAAAGTTCGTCATAAATTAAAGCCAAAATGTATTCTGCTCCATGTCTTTGCTAAAAAAAAATCCAAATACATGTAAATTATTTTGTTTACATGAAAGTTATAGCGTTTACAAATGGTGGTATTTTTTTAAATTATTTTTTATTATTATTATTTATACTAGTAATGGCAGCGATCAGCGACTTCTAGCGGGACTGCGACAGGCATTCTGACACTGGGGGGGAACTGACTTGATGTCACTGACATCCCCAGTGACACCAATACAGTGATCAGTGCTAATAAAAAAGCACTGACACTGTACTAATGGCACTGGGCAGGAAGGTGTTAACATCTGGGGTGATGAAAGGGTTAACTGTGTGACATTTTACATGTGTATTTGCTTCACTGAGAGCACACACTGCTTTGCTATGCACAGACATGCAAAGCACTGTGCAGGAGCTGACGGGAAAGAACTGCATTGTTTCACCGTCGGAGATGCTCGGCAATCACTGGGCACCAGCGAGTATTCACCAGGCGCCGGCAACTAAATCACCGGCCAGGATCCGGTGATTGACAGCCAAGGCCCCGAACGGCCTACATGATTTTGCGCACCCGTGCTGCCTTGAGATAGTTAAGAACATTCAGACAGAAAAATGAAAGAAAATTCCACCAAAGAAAAAAAAAATTCTAACACTATAGGCTAAAAGCATAAAGATGAAGAAGAAAAAAAAAGGAGGAAATAAAACTAAGGGGTTGATTTGCATAACCATTCGCTCAGTGAAAGTGCACACACATTTGTTCGTTCTTTACAAACAGGGCAAAAAAACTAATGGAAAGTGTTTTTTTTTTTCTCTTGCTGTTCCACTGAAAATTGATTTAAAACAAAAAATACCACATTTGGCCACTAGATGGCGCCAAGTAATAGCATATGACACAGGTGTCAAACACAAGGCCTGTGGGCCAAATCTGGCCCTCCATGCCATTTCATGTGGCCCTTACACCTCTCCTGCAGCTATGGTACCCCCCTCATCTCTGCCTCCACCTTGTCTCAGCAGTAGAGAGGGAAGAACCCCTCTGCCAGATCCTTTACCTCTCAGTCCAGCTGTAGCACCCCCTCATCTCTCCCTCCCCTGGACTCAGCATTTAGCAGACTCTGGTAACTGAGTGCACTCCTCCTCTGGTCCTCCTCCAGCCCCTGCACTTTCTGCTTTCCAGCTCCACCCCAAAGGGTGTGCATGGTGATGTCATGGAGGGTGGGGATTCCTGACAACCGGCCCTTTGAGGGCAACCATGATGCTGATACAACCCACGATGAAATTGAGTTTGACATCCCTGGAGTATGGTAATTCCTGTGAAGAATCAGCTACTACAGAGAATGGACTGCAATATGGATTGATGCAATGCTGCTAAAACAGAACTTGGCAAGTTAACTGCAGTGAAATCCTTCAGGTCCCGTTCACTGAGATTCTGCTCATGATCCCAAATCGTGGCAGAATGTGCATCGAGCTTCAGGGTGTCATTATTCCTTAACGGCTTCCCTTCCACCCACAGCTTATAAGCGGCAAACAGGAGGCAGTGCCGATGCGGGTTAACGTACCTTTACGTCAGCCAGCATCAACAACTCCTGAGTGGCTCACAGAGCACTCACCCGGGAACCAGTGATCTCTAAGTCACCCGGACACAGCAGATCCCATTACTGCTGAGTCTGGGTGATCACATGGTGTTTTACATTGTGATTGCTGTGTCCAATTAAGGCAATCACAAGGTAAGCAATAGAAACCAAAAGTAAACATCGGTTCTCTCTGCTCTCACACAAATCAGCTGTGAGAGCAGAGAGAACCATTGCTGCAGCCTGTGAATGCATACTGCCTGTCACGCTGCATGTACACTGACAGACTGCAGTGCCAGGCAGTGTCCCTGATCACTGCCCCAGTGTAATACCAATAAACAATGCAACCAGCCTGTCATCTGTCCCAGTGCTCACAATAACACCGCTATACACCACATCAATGCCCTGATCAATGCTATATCCCCCAACCAGCACCACGATCCCCGCCATATGCCATACCATTGGCCTGATCACCGCCATACCCCATACCAGCACCCTAATCACCTCCATACCAGCACCACGATCATCGCCATACCCCATACCAGTGTCCAGATCACCACCATGCTCCATACCAGCATCCTGATCACCGCCATACCCCATACCAGCATCCTGATCACCGCCATACCCCATACCAGCGTCCTGATCACCGCCATACCCCATACCAGTGTCCTGATCACCGCCATACCCCATACCAGTGTCCAGATCACCACCATGCTCCATAACAGCGCCTTGATCACCGCCATATGCCATACCATTGGCCTGATCACCGCCATACCCCATACCAGCATCCTGATCACCGCCATACCCCATACCAGCGTCCTGATCACCGCCATACCCCATACCAGCGTCCTGATCACCGCCATACCCCATACCAGTGTCCAGATCACCGCCATGCTCCATAGCAGCGTCTTGATCACCGCCATACCCCATACCAGCGTCCTGATCACTGCCATACCCCACACCAGCGTCCTGATCACCGCCATACCCCATACCAGCGTCCTGATCACCGCCATACCCCATACCAGCGTCCTGATCACCGCCATACCTCACTGCAGTGCTAGGCAGTCCCAGTGTCTCTGATCACTGCCCCAGTGTTATACCAATAAACAATGCAACCAGCCTGTCATCTGTCCCAGTGCTCACAATAACACCGCTATACACATCAATGCCCTGATCAATGCTATATCCCCCAACCAGCACCACGATCACCGCCATATGCCATACCGTTGGCCTGATCACCGCCATACCCCATACCAGTGTCCTGATCACCGCCATACCCCATAGCAGTGTCCAGATCACCGCCATACCCCATACCAGCGTCCTGATCACCGCCATACATACCCCATACCAGCATCCCGATCACCGCCATACCCCATACCAGTGTCCAGATCCCCACCATGCTCCATACCAGCGTCCTGATCACTGCCATACCAGCGTCTTGATCACCACCATACCACATACCAGCATCCTGATCACCGCCATACCAGGGTTTTGATCATCCTATATGCCATACCAGTGTCATGTTCACCTCCATACCCCATACTAACGTCCTGATCACTGCCATACATCATACCAACGTCCTGATCACTGCCATACATCATACCAACGTCCTGATCACTGCCATACATCATACCAACGTCCTGATCACTGCCATACATCATACCAACGTCCTGATCACTGCCATACATCATACCAACGTCCTGATCACTGCCATACATCATACCAACGTCCTGATCACTGCCATACATCATACCAACGTCCTGATCACCGCCATACCTCATACCAATGTCCTGATCACTGCCATACCAAAACCAGTATACAGCATTTTAGGGCGTCAAGTGATCAATTTTTTAGATAAATATCCCATAGTTTGTATAGTCTATAACTTTCACACAGACTAAATAATATACACAGTTTTGGGTTATTTTTACCCAAAAAATGTAGAGGAATACATTTTGGCCTAAATGTATGATGAAAAATATATTTGCAAAATTTTATTTAAAAAATTAAGCAAAAAATGTATTTTTTTTTTTCAAAATGTAGTTTCATTTATATAGCAAAAAATAAACAAAAGTGGAGATTAAATACCACCAAAAGAAATCTCTATCTGCTTAAAAAAAAAATTATGAAAAATTTAATATGGGTACAGTGTTGAATGACTGAGTAATTGTCACTCAAAGTGTGAGAGCGCTGAATGCTGAAAATTGGCCTGGACCGGAAGAGGCTGAAAGTGTCCAGACTTGAAGTGGTTAATGGCACCGCAAACGAGATGCGATTCTGTCGAGATTGTGGCATGACGATCAATGCAAAACATGAGTTTTAAAAACAAAACACGCTTGTCGCCCAAAAAGGGGCAAGAGCTTTTTTGGGGGGGACAAACGTACATAGGACAGCCCATGATGTGTTTGGGCTGCCCTATGTGTGACATTGCGGGCAAATCACTCAATAAATTTGCAAGCGGGAGTGTTCTTTTCCTTTTATAGTATATATGCAGTCTCATAGATGACCAACACCACCTAAGATAAACAATGGCGTTTTGTCTCTGCGACATTCTATCAATTCTGTTTAACAGTTCACTTGCTGCAGTAGCTGTTTTATCACACTGTTGCTCATAAACACAGAAACCTCCATACACTTAGCACAGACATCTCCCTCATTATTTCCTCTTCTAGTCGAATGTTCTTAGCAGGGGCGGACTGACCATTTGGAAATTCGGGCGCTGCCCGAGGGCCCAGGGTCAGTAGGGGGTCCCATGAGATGCCCCTGGTACCATTTTCATAGGCTTTTTTGAGTTTGGGCAAGGACACAGGGGCCCCATGATCCCCTATTGCCCGGGGGGCCCCATGAGTTGTCAGTCCGCACCTGGTTCTTAGCCTACATTCTTACGGCTGAATATTCTTAAAGACTATTTTCTCTTAGGATTAAATGTTAGGTAATGTTACATTCACCCTGTGAGAGGCAACAAATGGAAAATGACATTTAAAAAAATAAAAACAAAATGGGTATTACATGGGACTTTTGCGTAAATACTGAGCTATTCCCACAGCAAATTTTTTTTGTGTGAAGTGTAGCAAACATTTGTCAAATCAATAGCAATTTGTGCTAGTTGTACAGACATCAATGATGTTTTGCACTGTACTAGGACAGTGGGGTGGCAGCAGTAAGGAGAGAATGTAAAAAACAAGTCTACAGCACAGGGTTCCTGTAAAAAATGTTTGAGTATCACTAACTACACGGATGATTTTTTCATTGACAAACCAATAAAAATTCTTATTGATAAAATTGCCACAGTAACGATCTCACCTGCCCCCCATTTATGACGACATCTGGGTCCACCACGTTTCCTACAGATTTAGACATTTTCTCTCCTGTTTCGGACAGAGCGAATCCATGGACTACTACATTCCTAAAAAGAAAAAGACAAAATGACTCCATCCTTCAGAGGTTCTTAGTCACGAGTTAAAGTGGAACTCCAGCAAACATTATTTTAAATCAGGGCTCGACAAATCCCGGGAACCAGGTTACCATGCCGACTAGAAATTGCGTCCTGGTGCCTGGGTTCACACACTGCCTCTCATTGACTTCAGTGGGAAACGGCGCCCCACAGACTCCTGTGGGAAACGGCGCCCCACAGACTCCTGTGGGAAACCGCCTCCCACAGACTTCGATGGGAAAACGCCTCCCACAGACTTCGATGGGAAAACGCCTCCCACATGGGAAAACGCCTCCCACAGACTTCGATGGGAAAACGCCTCCCACAGACTTCGATGGGAAAACGCCTCCCACAGACTTCGATGGGAAAACGCCTCCCACAGACTTCGATGGGAAAACGCCTCCCACAGACTTCGATGGGAAAACGCCTCCCACAGACTTCGATGGGAAAACGCCTCCCACAGACTTCGATGGGAAAACGCCTCCCATAGACTTCGATGGGAAAACGCCTCCCATAGACTTTGAAATAAAAATTGGGGTGGTGGTTTTTAGAATCCCCCCATTTATATTAAAACATTGTACTACTTTGTTGGTCCCTATAATTAGTATATACATCTAAGCTCTGACAATATTGATGGACGTAATATATTACAATATTAGCTATAATAATAATAATAATAATAATAAACACAATGCTCAAACAAGCAAGGTCTTATTTATTTACAACGGAAGTAAAACACTAACAGAGAAATCTAAATCACTATTACAGAGTATACAGAAATAAAAGCAAAGATGATACGTTATGCAGGTTCGTCCTCAAAGCTGAGTATCCTATAGCTGGGTCCCAAGTAGAAAAAGTGAACAAAGGTAAAGCCAGCATGGCCAGAATTGTATTTAAGCACTCTCAGGCACCACTCACACACACACCCTTGACAATGAAATTAAGTGGTTCAGAATTTTTTTTTCTCATTTTCAATAGCAAGAACATTTTCCTCCTACAGACACTGAATGCCGATGGGAGGGAGAAAAGGAGAAGCCAGCATTCAGTGGCTGCAGAAGGTAAATGGAGAGGATTGGCTCCTGTATATGCCACCCCCGCTGCCACTCCTGTCCAAGTGTAACACAGAATGTGACACGGAGGCCGCACGGAGCTCCTGGAGCATGGGGCGGGGTTACCACTGCAACTCCTAATGCTACACCAGTGGCTGGGGGTGTATGGTAAAAACATGTCTTACTTTGGGGCTTTACCGTCCCTCAAACCACAAATGTAAACAAGCCCATAATGCCCTGGGTCACTATAAAGCAGCTTTCATACTTATGCGCTGTGGTTTACCAGCACAATGGCTGCAGCACAGTGCACCTGCGGCTTTCCTCTACGGGTTAGTTATGCTTTGCTTCAGACTTCTATTATATCTTGAGGGAGAGGGCTACATCAGAGGGCCACAGGTAGAGCACCCCTGATCTATGTTTTTTGTTGTTAAAGCCTACGTTTAGTCAAACCTGATAAAAGAAAAAAGAATTCCGCACAAGGGGCAGTACTTACAATTAATGTGAAGTGTCCCTTGTGTTGCTGGCTGCAGTTTTAGTTGAAACCCAAAATCATCTGACCCCCCCCCCCCCCCCCCCCCCCCCCCCCAAGTACACCAAACTTTATTAAACAAGACCCAATATTTTTCTACATGAAGGCTCCGCCATCTTATAAACCCTTTCCGTATTTTAGATAAATTCTATCAGGCGCAACCAATCACCAACATCTCATATACCTTGAGGGCCTTTAGCTGTCAAGCATATAATTACCTCTCCTACATTTCAATCTCCATTTACTTCTTAGCATCATACACAAGCAGAACCATTAGATCATGGTTTGTCCTAGGCCGGAGTAAGACATTTTAGCTTTCATGGGTAGTGAAACTGCGAATATCAATGAGAAGCCAGCAAGTTAAAGAGGAGTTCCAGGTATGGATATTTTATACATAGTAACTGTACATTGCTTCAGCTTGGACCAATGTAACTGTATATACCATACCTGACTGATGCCCCTAAAAGCTGGAAAACACTGAAATTGACACAGCTACTCCCGCAATCTCCACTTGCTTCCGGGTCCCATGTGGAGTGTCTGGCCTGATGCACTGTGAACACTGAACATTGTGTCTTTTTCCCCAGAAATACCTCAATCATGAAACAAAAATGTATCCCGGCCACAAGATGGTTTTGACATTAACCACTTGCCGCCCAGCCTATGGTCAAATGACGGCTCAGCGAACACTTCGTCCCTCCGGGAGGGCGCCATATGGCGTCCTTCCCGGATTGCGCTTTGAGCGTGCCTGCAGGGCCGCGCTGTGGCGAAATCTGTCACCAGCCGTGTACCTCGAACACAGCTGATGACAGATCTGTGTACCGACCCTGTTGCCAGTACCATGTGACCTGCTGTGACTAATCACAGTAGGTCACATGACAGTTGAATACAATGGACGGCTTCCTTTCATGCCATCCACTGTATACAAGTGTGTCTAGCTGTAAATGGTCACAGCAAGCACATGCACAGGCTGGGTCAATCACAGCCCATCTGTGTCATGTGATTAACAGTGGCCAATCGCAGTTAATCACAACAGAAAAAACCTGAATGAATCAATTTCATTCAGTTAAATGCTTGCTTATACATTATTATATATATGTATATATTTACATACATTATCTTAGGCCCAGTAACATTATCCCCAGGTCTCTGTGCTTCTCAATGCAATGCAGGCAAATCATGGCTGGTGAGAGGGGTCGGCAGTACTCAGTACTCGCTTGAAGAGCCCCCAGACCTGATGCAAGCAGAGGGCATACATTGTGCAATCATGGTAGTGCACCCACATACACGTGGCTGTCAGATTAGGAGCAGTGGCTGTGTCGTTGCAGTCACTGCATCCCAATTAAAATAAATGGGACTCCCTACACTGAGATGCACAGAACACTTGTGCATCCCTGTGTGGCTAAACGCAGTCCTTGCTAGAGTGTACGCTGCAGTACACACATGTGAATGAGGCCCAACACACTCTAAAATCTGATAGGGGCTATAATCCTTATAATCCTTCCCCACTCTAACCAAAATTAGAACAAAAGGTTTTGGCTTGATGTACAGAATCAAACCAATCTTTCCACAGGCATGCCGAATCTTGTTGGCAAAATATTCATGTCCATACAGGGGGCAGACTGATCCCAGTCTAATAAGCACATACAATAATACATGGTACATGCATCATGCTATATTAAACACTTTGCTGCGCATACAGCCATCAGTGAGTACAACATCCTGTGATAAAGTACAGTAAGATGCAAATGCTTCCTGGTCTACTCAACATTGTCCAATGCAAGAAGTAATCCAGGAATTCAATGACAAATGTTTCCCATTCGTGTCCCGGTCACGGAGTTATACTTGGTAACCACATTTTCGCTCTTATAGCACCATAGGGCATAAAGTAATAAAAGAAGCGATAGCACCCCAATGTACACAAACCTTGGACTGCACTTCTGCAAGGTTGTTTTTGTACAGTAGACTGAAGAGTAAAGGTCAAACAGCAAAAATATAGATTATTAATGTCATTTGATTGCACAGAAATAGATTGTAACTTAGAGCAAAGGGAATGACAAGAAACCTAAACGTCAGACAAGTAAAATAAAAAAAAAAGCATGGTATATGTTATTGAAACATAATAAAACTACCTATTTTATACAGTGATTGATCCTACTGCCTGTTGGTCGTAAAGCCTAAGTGTAGTAAAAAAATAAATAAATAAATTCAGAACTCCGTGACCGGGACACGAATGGGAAACATTTGTCATTGAATTCCTGGATTACTTCTTGCATTGGACAATGTTGAGTAGACCAGGAAGCATTTGCATCTTACTGTACTTTATCACAGGATGTTGTACTCACTGATGGCTGTATGCGCAGCAAAGTGTTTAATATAGCATGATACATGTACCATGTATTATTGTATGTGCTTATTAGACTGGGATTAGTCTGCCCCCTGTATGGACATGAATATTTTGGGGTCCCCCAAGGCTCTGTCCTTGGACCCCTTCTCTTCTCCATCTACACCTCCTCCCTGGGCAAACTCATACAATCTCACGGCTTCAACTATCACCTCTATGCTGACGACACCCAAATCTACCTCTCCACCCCTCACCTCACCCCCACTATCTCCGCCCGCATCACTCACCTCCTAAATGACATCTCAGACTGGATGTCGCTACACTTCCTCAAGCTCAACCTCTCCAAAACCGAGCTTCTCGTCTTTCCCCCTGCCAACACCCCCCCCCCCCCCCCCATCCTATCCATCATCACCAACAACTCCACTATCACTTCCGCCCCGCAAGCCAAAGTCCTTGGCGTCATTCTTGACGCGAACCTCTCCCTCCAACCGCATGTCAAATCACTCACAAACACATGCAGGCTCCATCTTCGCAACATTGCCAAGATACGCTCCTTCCTCACCCCAGACACCACCAAACTTCTAGTACACTCCCTCATCATCTCACGCCTTGACTACTGCAACTCCCTCCTCACTGGCCTACCCAAGTGCAGGCTCTCCCCGCTCCAGACCATCCTGAACTCAGCTGCCAGACTCATCCACCTCACCACCCGCTCCACCTCTGCCACCCCCCTCTGCCTCTCCCTCCACTGGCTCCCGATTGCCCAACGCATCAAATTTAAACTCCTAACCCTGACCTACAAAGCCGTTCACAACACTGCCCCTGACTACCTCACCAACCTTATCACCAAGTACCACCCTACCCGTACCCTTCGCTCCTCACAGGACCTCCTTCTATCCTGCTCCCTGGTCTCCTCCTCCCATGCACGACTGCAGGACTTCTCCAGGTCCTCCCCCATCCTCTGGAACTCACTGCCCCAATCCATCAGACTGTCGCCTTCCCTATTCACATTCAGGCGCTCCCTCAAAACCCATCTCTTCAGGGAAGCCTACCCCACCCTCATCTAACGGCCATCCTCCCTCATTCCTCCCACCACTTCATCCCCCTCAGCCACTTCCTACTGTACCTTTTACCCCCTCCCTCCTAGATTGTAAGCTCGTAAGAGTAGGGCCCTCTTACCCCTCGTACATTGTTTGTTGTTGTTGTACTGTGCCATGTATTGTCCCCCCTATTGTACAGCGCTGAGCAAACCCTTTGGCGCTATATAAACTCGTAGTAATAATAATAATAATAATAATAATAATAAATTGCACATAGGACATTACTTACAGCCAGCTAAACTCCTCTTCCATCAATCCCACCACACCCCCACTAGAATGTGGTGCAGGAGACCTGCATTCCGTACCAGTTTCTCCACCGCATTAAAATATCACTGCCCTTAAGATCTGCAGCAGATGTCAGTGCAAAGTTAAGGACACCTCAAAAGCAGGTCACAAATGCAGCACGTTTGACCGCAATGGATAGCATGGTACAAGAGTTTCTAAACGTAGTGCATGTACTACTTTTGGCACGGTGGGGTGTCGTTTCAGCCAATCCAAAAAGAATGGGTTGAAATCGCACTGCGCAGAACTGCATGTGAATCACACAGGAACATGTAGCATGTTCCTGTGCGATTCACCTGCAGTTCATCGTGTGAATGAACCCTCAGTCTCAGCAGGTATGAGATCTGCTGGTTATAAAGTTTGTCTCAATGAAACGGTTATTAACCAGAACCCAGCTGTTATGTTTTGCAGTTCAGATTAGATAATTAAAGGAAGCATGTGAGAATATGCAGTGAGCCAAAAACTTTATCCCCTCTATGCTAAACAAAACCCACAGCCTTTGGTTAAAGTGTTACTAAATGCAGGTAACAGTACAAGAACATGAAAATGCAATTATTTTAGTAAATAAAAACTGCTAAATACCTTTTCTCATCCACAGTTACAGCAGTCCTGTGACTTCTATCAGTGTCCAGCTGGGCACTGGTTAAAGCATGTAGGAGGAGTTTTCATTCTCCCCTGATTGTCCTATGAGGCTGCATAACCCCTGACCCTCTGACTGGGCAGTGCTGATTGGCCTTGTGCTGATAACATGCACTCTCCCACGATAAAAAAAAATCTCTAGCAATACACACAAAACTGAGCACGTGCAGCTTGCCCCAAAGGCTTTGTTCTATCAGAAGATGTATGGGGGACAGCATAAGAAGGGGAGGATCAGAGAAGAGAGGATCAAACATCCTTTTTACACAATGCAGAGGATTAACCCCTTAGGTTCCTCAGTGAGTATAACAAGCATGCTTTACTGCATATACAGCCTCTCAACCAAGGCTCTGTGAGAAACCATCAGTGATTTCACCTCTCGCCATTGCTGCAAAGAATTTGCAGAACCCAACAGTAGTTTCCACAGTTGCCATGCTGATTCATGGAGTACAGCAAGACATACTGAGATTAGCCCAAAGGTTCCCAGAGTTGTGGCACCTGATTCCACTGCACAGAGCAGGATGAATGACAGTCCTGACAACTGAGTAGTGCCGAATGAGAGGTGTGGTCACACAGAACCAGTGCAAGACCAAAGAAGCAGCTTAGGTATACAAGGTAGGTACGCTTGGAATTCACAGGAGAAATTGTTAAACCTATTACCTGTGCTGGATTCTGAAAAGCTCAGCCCAGTAAAGTTCCTACTCTGGTTTGGTTTATTTAAAAGAATAGAACTTCCTAAAACATTTATTATCTCACTACTACCTATGTGTGTTATTGCTGTGGGTTGCACAATGTTCTTCTATACAGTCATTATTTAGTCCATAGTCCATGACAGCACAATCAAGTTAATCTGCAAATTGCCTTATTGGTAATAAAAAACAAAAAACAAAAAATGCATTTTGGTGCTGCTAAACCAATCTGGTTCTTGGACAACGTTCATGAACTTTATTCCAGAACATGCCCCCCCGCGCACCCGGACACAGCTGATCACGGGATACGGTAAACGGCCAATCATAGTGGCCTTTTACCACGTGATCAGCTGTGTCCAATGACACAGCAGATCATGGTAAATGCAGTTGCTGGTTATCAGCTGCACATTCCTCACACTTTCACAGCGTCAGGAAAGTACTGCCGATAACTGGCAATTGTCAGAGGACGGATAGGCACTGATGACCAGTGCCCAGCAGTGATGCCCAGCAGTGCCACCCACTTGTACCCATCAGTGCTGCCCACTTGTGCCCTGCAGTGCCACCCATCAGTGCAGCATCATCAGTGCTGCTTATCAGTGCCCATCAGTGCTGCCTATCAATGCAGCCTTATCAACGCACATCAGTGAAGGAGAAAAATTATCTGTTTGCAAACTTTTATAATAGAAACAAAGAAAAACTTTTTTTTTTCCAATTTTTTGCTCTTTTTTCGTTTATAACGCAAAAACTAAGAAACACCCAGTGGTGATTAAATAACACCAAAAGGAAGATCTATTTGTGTAAAAAAATTATAAAAATTTCATATGAGTACAGTGTCGCATGACCGCTCAAGTGTCAAAGTGTGACAGCCCTGAAAGCTGAAAATGGCCTGGGCAGGAAGGGGGTGAAAGTGCCCAGTAGGCAAGTAGTTAAAAAGCCTTAGATGTGATGGCTGCATTAGTTTTCTTTTTGGCTTTTTTTTGTCAGTTCCTAGTGACATAGGCAAGCCCCCAAGAAATACATCTTCCAAGAGCCCTTTCCCTACTCACAGTGTGTGGCAGTCAAGGTACCATTATCATCTTGCTAAGAAGAAAATCAATGTATGTCTGTAAAGTGTCACAGAGAGGGGTGGGAATAGGCAGAGTTCGTATTCGGCAAGGTAGAACGCAGTCTGGGCTGACAACGCTTGGGATTTCTGTGCAGCAGAGGCAACATTATCAGTTTTCTAGATGAAGTTGGGGGAGCTCACCAAATATCTGGCAAAATTAACACGCTTTTGTATTTGTTGCATGTTCAAAATAGATAGAACACAGATGGAATGTTACAATAATAACTCTGGTACTTACTTATATGGTGCTTTGTTCCTGGAAGCCACACTGGTGAGGAGAGAAGACTGAAACCATCCTCCGAGCTGGTCCTTGCCTTCAATATACACATCAGCTCTCTGTTCTGTATCTGCAACAAAGAGCACCGCCTGAATTTTTCACAGCGAGTACAAATTTAAACAACTTCATACAGAGGATAGAAAAATGTGACTCATAACTGGACTGCAAATCCCATGCTGCATGCTATAGCAACCAAGGAGTCCATATCCTGCTCTGATGACGGCTAACAAGCCTGCCACAACTGAAGGCAAGGAAAAACAAATGGCTCGATGATAAGTCATTTGGGCATGAAGGAGACGTATACACTGCTCAAAAAAATCAAATGGAACACTATGAAAACACATCAGATCTCAATGGGGAAAAATATCATGTTGGATATCTATACTGATATGGACTGGGTAATGTGTTAGGAACGTAAGAATGCCCCATCGTTCGATGGATTTGAAAATTATTAACCTACAGAGGACTGAATTTAAAGACACCCTGAAAATCAAAGTGAAAAAAATGATGCAGCAGGCTAGTCCATTTTGCTGAAATTTCATTGCTGCAACTCAAAATGGTCTTCAGTAGTTTGTATGGCCCCCACGTGCTTGTATGCATGGCTGACAACGTCGGGGCATGCTCCTAATGACATGATGGATGGTGTCCTGGGTTATTTCCTCCCAGATCTGGACCAGGGCATCACTGAGCTCCTGGACAGTCTGAGGTGCAACCTGGTGGCGTCAGATGGACCGAAACATGATATCCCAGAGGTTTTCTATTGGATTTAAGTCAGGCCTGCATGGGGGCCATTCAATGATATCAATTCCTTCATCCTCCAGGAACTGCATGAATACTCTCACCATATGAGGCCGGGAATTTTTGTGCACCAGGAGGAACCCAGGACCCACTGCACCAATGTAGGGTCTGACAATGGGTCCAAGGATTTCCCCCCCCCCCCCGATACATAATGGTAGTCAGGGTGACATTGTCTAGCCTGTAGAGGTCTGTGCATCCCTCCATGGATATGCCTCCCCAGACCATCACTGACCCACCACCAAAATGGTCATGCTGAATGATGTTGCAGGCAGCATAACGTTCTACACGGTTTCTCCAGACCCTTTCATGTCTGTCACATGTGCTCAGGGTGAACCTGCTCTCATCTGTGAAAAGCACAGGGTGACAGTAGCGGACCTGCCAATTCTGGTGTTCAATGGCAAATGCTAATTGAGCTCTATGGTGCCAGGCAGTGAGCACAGAGCCCACTAGAGGACACTGGGCCCTCAGACCACCCTCATGAAGTCTGTTTCTGATTGTTTGGTCAGAGACATTCACGTATTGATGTGCCCTCCTGGAGGAGTTGGACTGCCTATGCAACCTCTGTAGATATCGCCTCATGCTACCAGTAGTGACAATGACCCTAGCCAAATGCAAAACTAGTGAAAACAGTCAGAAAAGAGGAGTAGAGAAAAACATGTCAGTGGCCTCCACCTGTAAAACCATTCTTGTTTTTGGGGGGTCGTCTCATTGTTGCCCATCTAGTACACCTGTTGTTAATTTCATTAACACCAAAACAGCTGATACTGATTAACAACCCCCTCTGCTACTTAACTGACCAGATCAATATCCCAGGAGTTTAACTGACTTGATGCTAGACTCTGATTAAAAAGTGTTCCTTTAATTTTTTGAGCAGTGTATAAAAAGCCTATCCTTGATCCTAAAAATGAAGAAGAATAAATCTACACTGCTAAAGTTAGCTAAATAAATGCTCCTTAAGGGTCAGTTTCACTACATGTGTTTCAGTTGCTTTTTTTTTTTTGCATCCAAAATGCACAGAAAGTAGATTATATGGTTGTCATTGTACATCAAAACGCGCATGCGGAAACACATCTGGAACGCGTTTCTATAGTGTGAACCGACCCTAAGTGCAGGGAGACAAAAGAGATCTGTGACCAGCTGAGATCTTGATGACTTCTCCTGTACATCAGTCTTCAGCTCATCTGATTTCAGTGGCCCCATTCACACTATGGCGTTTTGAATCGTGAGAAGAATCATTGCGATTCTGCACGCGATTTCAAAACGCTCTGCTAAAATGATAAATTGCGGAACCCTATATTCAGGTGTTATTCATTTTAACCACTTTAAGCCCGCCCTATAGCAAATTTACTGCTACAGGGTGGCCTTTCTGTGCAAAATCACTTCTATACACGTGATTTTGCACTTCCGACACAGGAGGGCGCGCGTGCCGCCGGAGCGCCACTTCTGCTGTGATTACACAAAGCAGAAACCGATTAACAGGTGCTGGCCAATGGATATAAACAAGGCAGAGTTGTGTTCAACAACAATCTGATAGATTTAATTTAGGGAATAAAATCTAGCAGATTGCCTAGTAAAAAACGCACATAGTAAACACAAAAACACAGACTAGGCACACAATCAATTGAGCTTTGTCATGTCAACAGACAGCATGGATTCATGAAAGACAGAAGCTGTCAAACAAATCTGATTTCTTTTTATGAGGAGGTGAGCAAAACCTTGGATAGAGGGGTGGCGGTGGACAGAATATACTTGGATTTTGCAAAAGCGTTTGACACAGTTCCCCAAACATGGCTAATGTGTAAGGTAAAGTCTACGTGCTTGGAAAAATCTGTATGTATATGGATAGAAAACTGGCTAAAAGATCATATTCAGAGAGTAGTGGTTAATGATTCATACTCTGAATGGTCTAGGGTGTCAGTGATGTACCCCAAGGTCCGGTGTTGGGACCCTTACTTTTTAATATATTTATAAACGATAAAGGGTCTGGGATTACAAATCCCATTTCAGTCTTTGCAGATAACACCAAGCTGTGCAGTGGAATAACGTCCTTACAGGATGTCTCCAACTTACAAACTGACCCCAATGAACTGTTTAATTGGGCAACTATGTGGCAAATGAGGTTTAATGTTGATAAATGTAAGGTTCTGCACTTGGGGGCTAAGAATATGCATGCATCATACATACTAGGGGGGGTACAACTGGGGGAATCAATGGATGGAGAAAGATCTGGGAGTTCTGGTAGATCACAAGCTTAATAATGGCATGCAATGCCAAGCTGCGGTTTCTAAAGCAAGCAAAATCCTATCTTGTATTAAAAGAGGTATAGACTCCAGAGAGAGATATCATATTACCCCGGTACAAATCATTAGTAACACCTCATCTGGAATATGCAGTTCAGTTTTGGGCACCAATTCACAAAAAGAACATTGGGGAACTATAGAAAGTACAAGAAGGGCAACCAAACTGATAAGAGGATGGAGGAGCTCAGCTATGAGGAAAGATTAGAGGAACTGAATTTATTCTCTCTTGAGAAGAGGAGATTAAGGGGGGATATGATCAACATGTATAAATACATCAGTGGTTCATATAGTGAACTCGGTGTAGAGCTATTCACCCTGAGGTCATCACAGAGGACAAGGGGGCACTCTTTATAACTGGAGGAAAAGAAATTTAATCTCCAAACATGGAAAGGTTTCTTCACAGTGAGAGCTGTGAAAATGTGGAATAGACTCCCTCAAGATTTGGTTCTGGCAAGCTCAGTGGCTTGCTTTAAAAAAGGCCTGGATTCTTTCTTGGATATAGTGAGGAACAGAAGTATTTGAACACCCTGCAATTTTGCAAGTTCTCCCACTTAGAAATCATGAAGGGGTCTGAAATTCACATTGTAGGTACATTCCCACTCTGAGAGGTAGAATTAAAAAAAAATTCAGGAAATCACATTGTATGGTTTTTAAAGAATTTATTTGTCTTGCACTGCTGAACATAAGTATTTGAACACCTAAGAAACAGAAAGAATTCTGGTTCTCAAAGACCTGTTACTGTGCTTTTAAAAAGTCCACCTCTACTCCACTCATTAATCTAACTTAGTAGCACCTGTCTGAGCTCTTTAAAGACAGCTGTCCACCCCACAGTCAGTCAGACGCTGACTACTACCATGGGCAAGACCAAAGAGCTGTCAAAAGACACCAGAGACAAAAGTGTGGACCTCCACAAGGCTGGAAAGGGCTACGGAGCAATTGCCAAGCAGCTTGGTGAAAATAGATCAACTTTTGGAGCAATTGTTAGAAAATGGAAGAGGCTAAAGACGACTGTCAGTCTCCCTCGGACTGGGGTTCCATGCAAGATATCACCTCGTGGGGTATCACTGATGATAAGAAAGGTAAGGAATCAGCCCAGAACTACAAGGAAGGAGCTGGTCAATGACATGAAGAGAGCTGGGACCACAGTTTCAAAGGTCACTGTCGGTAGAACACTACGCCGTCATGGTTTCAAATCATGCATTGCACGGAAGGTTCCCCTGCTCAAGTCATCACATGTCCAGGCCCATCTGAAGTTTGGCAATGACCATCTGGATGAGCCAGAGGAGGCATGGGAGAAAGTCATGTGGTCAGATGAGACCAAAGTAGAAATTTTTGGTCTAAACTTCACTCGTCGTGTTTGGAGGAAAAAGAAGGATGAATTGCATCCCAAGAACACCATCCCTTATATGAAGCATGGGGGTGGTAACATCATGCTTTGGGGGTGCTTTTCTGCGAAGGGGACAGGACGACTGCACTGTATTAAGGAGAAAATGAATGGGGCCATTTATTGTGAGATTTTGAGCAACAACCTCCTTCCCTCAGTCAGAGCACTGAAGATGGGTCGTGGCTGGGTCTTCCAACATGACAACGACCCGAAGCACACAGCCAGGATAACCAAGGAGTGGCTCCGTAAGAAGCATATCAAGGTTCTGGAATGGCCTAGCCAGTCTCCAGACCTAAATCCAATAGAACATCTTTGGAGGGAGCTGAAACTCCGTGTTGCTCAGCGACAGCCCCGAAACCTGACAGATCTAGAAGAGATCTGTGTGGAGGAGTGGGCCAAAATCCCTGTTGCAGTGTGTGCAAACCTGATCAAGAACTACAGAAAACGTTTGACCTCTGTAATTGCAAACAAAGGCTTCTGTACCAAATATTAACACTGATTTTCTCAGTTATTCAAATACTTATGTTCAGCAGTGAAAGACAAATAAATTCTTTAAAAATCATACAATGTGAATTCCTGAATTTTTTT